TATATATATATATATATATATATATATATATATATATATATTTATATATAATATTATTGCATATTAGATTATTTCTAAAGATATATTTATTTTCTGTAAAAATCTATAAAATAATATTTATTATATATCTTTTAATAATCATATGGGATAATAAACGTAACAATGGATATTATTTATATGAATAATAATTATATATTTATATAAAAATAATTAAGATTAAGGAAATTTCATTATATAATTTCATGAAATTCAGATTGGAATAAAAAGTATCTATATATTATCTACCATGTATACACTTAACATTTTTTAATATATATTTTTAAAAAAAATTCTTATAATACCTAATATAATATTTTAAATATAATATGTAATACATTAGAAATATTAATATTCAAATTATATATATATTGAATTATATATCTATATTTCAATATAATTTTATTTGTATTATAAAATTTCTATTGTAAAAAATTTCAAGTATAAAAACTATATACATTAATTTTATCGTTCGAACATATATATAAATATAATTTATTAATAGTATATTAATAATAAATAATATTTTTATATTAATAATTATTGTTTATTATATATAATGTGATAAACAAGGTATTATATTAAAGAAATGATTTGCTTTGCAACAGACTCCGTGGCGCAACGGTAGCGCGTCTGACTCCAGATCAGAAGGTTGCGTGTTCAAATCACGTCGGGGTCATATTTTTACTGATGTTTTTTATTTTTATATCTTATTAAAAAATTCATTTTTTAAAACATTGAAATTAATATGTGTTTCAATTAAAACACAAATAAATAAATTGAATGTGATAAATAATAAGAAAATTATATATATAAATCTAACAAATAAATTAAACATAATCTGTGTTTGTTTATATTGCTGTGAATATATATCATAAAATTCACTATAAATATTTTAGAGAATAAACTTAAATTGATAATTAACAATAAAGTTATTTAATTATTCTTCTAGAATATTAAGCATATGTTTATGAATAAATAATCTTTGTTTGTTTTATATAAATAAACGCAAATAAAGTTAAAAAAAAAAACTAGCTAGACATTTTTCTTTTTATCATATAATTAATCACATGTCAAATTTTACAAAATCAAAAGAAATGGGTAAAGAAATTGATTCCGATAATACCAAAAAGAGAAGAAAATCAGTTAGTGGAAATTCTGGTATATCTTTGAAAGATGGAGATACATATAAGGTAAAGAAAATATAAATATAATTATAATATAATTTATCTAAGTTTTAAAGTATCTATTTTTTTTTTTTATTTAGGTTATAATTAGTTATGAAGAGAAAGAAGCTATGGAACGTTTGCCAGAAAGTGATTCTGAAAGTTTTCTATCTACTTGCGATAATATACGTAGAGCTATGAATAAAATTGCAAAGTTAAAAACTAGTGGAGATGCAAATGTTTGTATATTAATTAAAAAAAGTAAATTCAGATATTGGATTTTTTTGGAAAATTAAATATAGTTTGAAAAGTTTAAATTTAATATTTTTTAGGCTAAAGATGAAATACGTGAACTTCAAATTCAAACGTCATTATCATTTATTGAACTTAAAAAATTAAATAGAATGGAAAAATTTCGTACAAAGTTTGCTAGAGATTCTCTTATATCTTCAAAAAGCAGTGTTGACAGTAGGCATTTACATTTGCAGAATTTATTGTACGAAGTAATGCATTTAAAAAAAGAAGTTGTTAAATGTCTTCAGTTCAAGTAATTGTTTTTTTGTTTATTTAAAATTTTTCATATATGATTTTCATTTAATTTATATGATATATAATATGTATTAATATATAGATCTAAAGATGAATTAATACAACTTGTATCGGAAGAAGAATTTTACAAGGAAGCGCCTGAAAATATTTCTAGACCGGTAGGAAGTAGATTTAAGTTAAATTTGTTAATTTATAATATTATATATTAAAATTTTTAGGAAATAACAAAACATAATCCTCATCAATTAAGATTGGCACGTCTTGAATGGGAATTGACACAAAGAAAACAATTAGCTGCATTATGCGATGAATTGACAGAAAACAAAAAGGCAGTAGCATCAAGTATTGCATTGAAACAGACTCGACTTGATAATCTTGCACCACAACTTCACTCAATTTTAGAAGTATTTTTAATTAGAAGTATTCTTAAAAGATTATAGTTTATTATTAATAATTCATATTATAATTAATCAATTTTTCTTTGCAAGGCAAGTAAGCCATTACAAGAGAGTCTTGGTTTGCTACTGGATAAAGTTAGACAAGAACATAATAAAGCAACATTACTTGCATCACCTCTATATGTTCTTTATGCAAAGGCATCTGCATACAGAGATGCATATGGTATTACTTTTTCTTATTTTAAACATAAAAGATTCATACATATTTTTTAATTTATTTTCATATTATCTTTTTCTCTAGATAATTCTATAATAGTGAAAGTAGAAGGCGATGAAGAAGAAGCAAAACGTGCAAATAATCAAGATGGATTACAAGAATCTGATTCAGATGCTGAAACTATTTCTGAAAATATCATAGAAGAAACACCTGTACACAAGAAAAGACATCATAGGTTATCTAGAGAAGCCAGACAGGAAGAGAAAAGAACAAAACTATTACAAAGACATCCTTTAAATGTGAAAATAATTATTAAATTAAAAAGTTAGTTATGAAAAAATTGATAACTATAAAATAAAACTAAATAATATTTTAAAATTTAATTTCTTTAATTTCTTTTAGATGAAACAAAATTGACATTACAATTTTATTATATGATGTTTCTGAAAGTTGTAACTGTAGAATCAAAATTAAAAACGGATGGTGTCACAGGCATTACTACAGGGTACATCAATTTTTATATATTACTAATATAAGTAATATTTATTTACTATGTTGTTTATTTATTTATTTATTATATTTAATGTTTTATTTTACTTCTAAAATTCTTTATTCAAATTTTATTTTAATAGAGATATGCTTGTGTCAGAATCAATTTTACGTGAATTATATCCAGGAGATTTAGGATTAGAAAGTCCAAATCCTGCTAATTATTATCAATTAAATCGACATAATTTGGGTCAATTTTCATCTCTTGGATTAGGAATACCATACAAATGGGCACAAAGAATGGCTGGATTGCATTTTATTTCGCCAGACGCTAGAGAACAAAAGGTATAAAATTTTTAATATAATACTATAGTGATAACAATATATACAATAATTATACATACATTATAATAATTTATCAAATTATTTTAAAATAATTTATATATCATTATTATTCAGCTTACGAGTTGCGAAAAAACACAAGATAGCGTTGAATGTGTATTAAGAGAAATTAAAAGACGTGTAATAGCAAGATTAGAATTATGCACAGAAATTCGACAATTAGAATGTGGAAATTTACCAATTTTTACCACTAATAATGATCTTCTGCCGCAAAAGCTTAATGCCATTTTACAAAAATTCTCAACAATTTCATGGAGTAATTATTGCAATAGCGTAAATCCCATTTTTCAAGAACAGGGATTAGTATCTTCATTGGATATATTTTATGAAGCTATACTTCGTCGAGGAAATAGTAAGATATTATAGAATCAATATATACTATATAGTTTTAGTTTTTATTTATTTTAGTAATTTATTTTAATAATTTAGTTTAATTTATATTTATTTTTTTTTCCAGATGAATTAATTGCTAGAATAGCTATAAAACCGGATTACCCAAAAATAGCACCAATATTTAATATAAGTATAAATCCTATAGTACCTGCATCTATAGATATTTTAAGAGATATTGAAAGAGAGGTAAATGTTACGTGGATAAAACAACCAACATTATCAGCACAACTTCAACGATTGCGAGCATGCTTCGATATTTATTTGGAATCAGAAAATATTGTACCAAAAGAAAAAATTTTCTTTCATCCTGTAAAAGGTCGTACTCGTGCTAGACCATATAAATATTTAGAATTAGGAGGTGGAATTTTTATTCATCGTTAATTTAATACAATACAAAATGATAATATGAATACATCTTAGTAAAATATATTTTAATATAAATATTCTTATTCTAATAATATAAATATTATTTATTTTTATTTATAATTATTAAAAATACGCGAAAATCCAAAAAAAAAAATAAATGGATCATGATAAGTTCCTGAAATTATTTCCTAATCCGAAATTATGAGAATTTTTGAGAATTTCGGATTTTTTTTTTTTGTTTTTTAAAGCATAAATTTAATTTCAAAATGTTATTCGGTTTCTTGAAATTTTAGAAAATTTTAATTTTCGTGTAATTTTCACGAATAATTGAAATTCTCGAACTATGAGATATTTTCAGAATCCGATCTCTCCCGACTCATTCATAACATTTTTCGAATTCTCGCATACTATCTAATAATTATGAAAAATAATTTTATTCAAAAATCATTTATAAAGATGAATTAATTGAACGTAACGCCAACATGCTAGAGTTTTTCAAAAGATATGTTTGTAACTTATATTTTAATTTTTTATTTTCTTTGTACAGATTGTTACCTTCTTTCTGTAACAAAATATTATTGACTTTTATATAGTTGTAATATTTCCAAAAATTATCGATTTTTGCACATGATGTAGGAATCTGAAATAGATTTAAAATATCATTGCAAACATGCATGATATATATGATTATATAATATATATTATATATATTGGCTCTTACATTAGTATCAGAAAATTCAGTATGATCCGCGTCTCGTACGAAATATTTTTTAAAATTAAAAAGTACAGGTTCCAAAGAAGTACATATTTTAATTATTTCAAGAATTTTTGAACCTTGTTCTAATATTCTTTTTAAATGCTACAATAAAAAATATAATGTTAAAAAGAAGAAAAAATAATTAAGCAAATATTTTCTTACTTTTAAAACTTCATTGCTTATAACAGTTAATTTTTTTAATTGCGAAGTATCTATCATTTGACTCATATTGAATTTGTATTTAATATTTTTATGCTTTTCTTTTATGTTTATATCTTTTATTTTAAGTTTTCCAATTTGTTCTTTCTTTTCTTGTGATAATATTTGAATTTTAAATTTTAAACTTTCAATGGTATTCTGTAATTCAAAATATACTTTTGAATATTTTACTGTACATGTTTGATAAATATTATCTTGTTCTTTTAAATATTCATATTGTTTTTTTTTATTTTCAACTATTCTTTGATATTCATTTATCACTTTAGATAATTGTTCCCAAAGATTTTCAATATTTAAAAAAGATTGGTGCCCAAGATGCGATACCATATTTTTTCCTAATATTTAATAAATTTATTTATAAAATTTTGATTAATCTTTTTTATGCAATAAATTAATATTATTACCAAATATAAGATGTTAAAAATATTAACAGCATTATACGTTTTTCTTATAGATTGTGTTTGATCAGTATTTATAGATTTCTTAATTATATAATCAGATATTTCTTTATGATATTGTTCTATAGAATTTTTCATTCGGATTAATTCCAATGTATTATTCATTTTAATATCATTAAATTTATACATATCATGTAATTCTATCAATTTTTGTTTATATTTTCCTGCATAATATTAAAATAATGTCATACTTATAAATTTGTAAATAATAAAATTAAATTTACAATTTTATGTAAATAATTTAAACAATACCAATTATATTATTAATTAACAAAGTATGAGTTTCTTGAAGTTTTCTATGATCTGCATCAGCTACTTTTAATTCATTATATAGATAAGAAATTGTAGAATCTTTTGATCTTATTGTTCTGTCCAAAGTTGTGGAAAGATACTCTACATATATATGAAGTTCCTTACATTTTATTTGTCGCAAAAAATATCTCCATTTTTCATTAATTTTGGCAATATTCAATTTTGAGAACACTTCCTCATGTTTTAATTTATTCTGTAATAATTCGTAATATGTATTTAAAATGTTGTAATAAGAAAATTTATAATAAATGATACCTTACTAAACACAGCAATTAATTGTTGTTTACGTCTTTTAGCTTCTAATTCCAATTCGATACGATGTTGCATACAACGTATACGCTCTTCTTCGGTCATTCGAGCAAGTTTGCTACGTTTATTTTTTCTTTTTCTTGTCATTTTTTAAATAATAAAATAATAAATTTTGTATTACATATAAAAAATTATGAACTTAATGAGAGAAATAATTATATCAATATGAAATCGAATAAACACTTTAAACTATAAATTATATATTTATTATATAAATAAACTATATTTATTATATATTTATTATATAAATAATATTTACGTGTATTTATTGTAATTTATATATAATATAAATAAGGAAACGAATAACGTGCACATAATACTCTCTCTTTATATGGAGAGTGCATAATATGTTTAATCAATAAAAACAAAGATTTGATATTTAGAAACAAATAGATTTTACCCAATTATTTTCATTTAGTGTATTATACTATATTATATATTATATATATATTATATATTTAATTTGATATAATATAACTTAACTTAAATAGTGAAATATCTTGAAAATTCATATATATATATATATATATATCTTTTGAACAAAGCTATAATGTTTAAAGTAGTATAATTAATTGCTACTTGTTTTGATTACATTACATTAAAATTATTATATTAAATCATCAACTTAGAATTTCTTAAATGGAAATCCCCATTTTTTATGATAGATTTTTTATCAAAAAACAAATATTCCTTGTTTTTATCAATTTTTTTATCTGATCTTCTGTTTTTAAAATATTTGATGTAGAAATTAATAATCACGCGACAAGATAAACCGATACTTAAAAATTATCCAACTTTATTACTATCTATTTAATAATAAAGTCAAATAATAATATTAAAGTTTATTTTAATATTTGAATTAGACATTCAAGAATATTCATTATTTTATATTATATTTATCGTGAAAATGTATCTTCACGATACATATAACATATACATAAAGTATTTCCATAAAGTTGAGAAAGATATAATTATAATTGAGGATAAAATATATAAAAAATAAAATATTAATTTATTATTATTTTTATTATTTAATTTATTATTTAATAACATTACTATTTTATTTATTCAAAATATTAATAATAAGACATGATATTAATGATATTACAAATTTATATGAAATTTAAAAAAAATTAAAAAACAAATATTAAAATTTTTGAAGAAATTAACAATTATTAAAAAAGAAAAGGACAAAACATCTTAATTTCGAAACTATTCAAATTAAATTGAAATGACGCAATCAAACTATATGTATTAATTGCACCGAAAATTGATATTTTTATTAATATATTGTATCTAATAATTAGTTTAATAAGTATTAAATAAAAATAAAATATATATGCATATATATATATACATAAATATATATATGCTTCAATTTTTACTAAATTGAAATAATAAAATAATAATTCTTACCGCCAAAAGGAATTTTTTTTATTAATTGACAAAAGCGACATCTATATGTATGTATATGTATTATATTGCTTATTAAACAAACATCGTAATCTTCAATTTTCATTTCTTAAAAGTATTTTTACAGGTCCGCGGTTATACACTTTTGGTCAAGGAATAGAAATCTCTATTCCTTTGAAATGAAAAATATGTTCAATTATTAGTGATTATCTTTTAGTGATTATCTGTCAAGATTTCATCTTTAGAAATACTCTTATTATAGAATGTCTATAGTTTTTATGTATATGAATATGTTCCTTTAATATTGAATTAAAAAATTTTAACAGGAATTATCTTTATGTTTTATAATTCATATATTAAATGACAAATTTAAATATGAAACGATAAATGTGTATATTTTATTTATACATGAATATAAAAATTATACATACATATATATTTTGTTCTTTATAATTGAATTGTAAAAAAAATATTTTGATGCATTTAAAAAAATGACAGAAATAAATTGGTATGCATGCAATGATTTTAATGTATCTGTAATTAATAGAAATATTGAAAATATTAAATATTTTGTATATTTTTTATAGGATTGCAAAACCCATGAATTATAAAACAATACGATTTATATCTTTAGAAGAAGTAACGGAACATCCTTTAAAACCTGTTACGGTTATGGTAAATATATAATTCAATACATATATATATATATATATATATGAGAATGTATTTTATTTCAAAAATTTTTTTTTTAAATTTACTTTTTTATATAATTTTAGTAATATATAATATATTTATTTATATAGTTGTTGATATAATTTTTTTATTATGTAATATATATGCAAATATAAAATTTAAATTATGTTTTTTTAGTTAATTGATGGTCGTAGTGGGACAAAACGTAATGTGTTACGAAGTACAAGTACTGGTTCTTCAACTACTACACCAACACCAACTCATACACCTATTCCTAAAAATTCTTTAACTGATCCGTTATTGAGTCATTGCTCCTTTGATGGATCTGATCCTCTTTCACAATTTGCTAGAGAAGAATTAGATCCATTATCTAAGATGGCTGCAGATGAGGTTCTTAAATTTTGTTTTAATCAAAAAATTTATAATATTGAACATTATATATCATTTATATTTTAAAATATAATGCAGTGGGATTACTCTTGTATAATAGCCACTGGTAAAAAATCTGTGGATACTGCAGAAGAATTGGTAGAACCATGGTCAGCAAGACGTACTACAATATTAAACAAATACACAACATCAGAGAAATTATCAATAGCTACCAGTTTTTTACCAGGTGGTGAAAAAGGTATTTTTTTTATTAATAAATATTGAAGAAATACATAAAAAGAATACAACTTATAAATAAATTTATTACAGTTATTGTTAAAGTTCAACCAAGTGGTGGAGTTGTTGATAAAGTGCGAACAAGATTAGAACAATTAGATGATTTTGAAGAAGGATCTCTTAGACAAATGTTAGATTTATCTCAACAACAATATACTGCAAGAGTTGAACAACTAAATAATGAACTTGTACAAGCCTGGCATTCCGACCAAAGAGTTAAAGCACTAAAAATAGCAATTCAGGTCTTCATTTTTATTCATTTTGTTGTTCTTATCTATATGTAAGAGAAAAAAGATAAATTAATTAGATAATTAATAATAAATCATTTCAGTGTGCCAAATTATTAGTAGATACATCTGTTATGGCATTTTATCCTGGCAAGTTTGTTCTTATCACAGATATTTTAGATATTTTTGGAAAATTGGTTTATGAAAGATTAAAGATTAAAGCTGAATATTACAAGTTAGTATTGCATTATTTTAATATTATTGTATTTAATATTGTATTGTATAAATATTATTATATTAATATTAATATTTGAAATGTTTTATTAATGATATAATTAAAAAGAAAAAAATGTTATATGTAAAAATTTATTTTGATATAAAAAATATAAGATATATATAGTTGAATTAATTTTATTAGTTGAATTAAATTTATTTTAAATAGTATCATTTTAAATATTTTATATTGTTTTCTATAATTGAATCTTATTATTATAGACATATGAATATTAATCATGATTATATCATAAATTGTATAGAAAAAATATAATTTATGTTATGTTATCTTTTATATTTTAGAAACATAAATTATATTTATAATAATTTATGTACAATATATTTTATAATTATTATATTATTTTATAGTAATATAACATATGTTTCATCAATGTAAATTATAAGAATTATAGAGAATTATATATATATATATATATATAATTATATTGCAAATATTCAATTACTTTTGTAAAATGATATAATTAATAAAAAAAATATTAAATATTATTAATATATTAAATTTTTATCATTAGAAACGATATTTGCTTTTTCCAACAATTAATACGTTTATTTTGTATTTTTTAGGCCAGGAAGTAAAGTGCCCACGAGTTTACCTGATAATTTTACACCCGATATGGTACCTGAAAATGCGAAAGAAACTTGCAGAAATTGGTTTTATAAAATAGCATCAATAAGAGAATTAGTTCCACGTCTTTACGTAGAAATGGCAATAATAAAATCGTATAGTTTTTTAACAACAAGGTAAAAATATAAGTATTTTATATCTAATTATATATAAATGTACATATAATTTCATAATATTTAGTATCAATTAGAAATTTTTTTTATCTTTAGTGAATTCAATACAGCTCTATTACGAATAACGCGAATGATAAGAGGTATTGGAAATCCTCTCATAGCTGTATATGCAAGATGTTATTTATGTCGGGTGGGATTAGCTTTAAATAAAACATCTGATTTTGAATTTGTGAGAGAAAACTTTTATGATTTTCTTTTTACATATCAACAATTGTTTGGCCAGTTTATAAAGAATGAATTGGTCGAACAGAATATGACTTTATATTCTTATTTAAATCTTTATTCGCCAGCATTGGACTGGATTTTACAAGTATTGGTAGCTACGACTTCTGAAAATTTTTTAGAAGATGTACTTTCTCGATGTAAAAATCAAGCAAATAGGTAATTAATTCGTATTTAATTGTCCTCTATATTATTATATATATCCATTTTTATTATAGATGATTATTATAGATGATTTATAAGATTGAAATATTTTTTTTTTAGTTCATTATTATTGAATAGTATTTTAACAGCATTTAAATCTTCATATGTTGCGGGACGTGCAATAGATTTTGTAAATTTAATAACTGCAATCGAAGATGATGGTAATATAATGGTGATGAAATAAATGATTAAATCATTATTTAAAATTTGTAAATTTTATAATTATATTATTATTATTTTTATTTTTAGGTTTCCCGCAATATCTTTTATATCGAAGTTTAGGTGAAAGTCTTATATTAGAATCACCACCAAAAGAAGACTGCCAATCAATTCTCAATATAATATGGAAATATATAACAGAGTTAACAAATCCTAATAAATTCATGCATTGCATTGAAATTTGGATTCAATTCACTGCTATCCATTTTTCTGTAAGTTTAAGTCATTTGAAAATGAAAAAATATTTATTGTTTACAATTTTAACGTTATAGGTAAATGAATTAAATCTATTTTTTGGAAAAATAATTGATCGGCTTAATCCGAATAAAAATTTTGAACACCATTATCCACAATTACAAAATATCATTGAAAAAGTAGTGTCTCATACACAAGATTTTGAATCGTTACTTGCTATGGTAATT